CCCCAGTAGCTGGGATTACAGGTGTCCACCACTATGCCCGGCTAATTTTTGTATTTTTAGTAGCGATGGGGTTTCACCATGTTGGCCAGGCTGGTCTCAAACTCCCGACCTCATATGATCCACCTGCCTTGGCCTCCCAAAATCCCACGCTGGGATTACAGGCGTAAGCCACCGAGCCTGACCAAGTAGGATAATTTTCAAGAAAAATATATCAAAATAGACTCTAGAAGAGACAGAAAATCTACAGAGATCAATAACACAGAATAGAGAAAGCTGTCAGAGAGCAAAATTCCCCAAAACATACAGGTTTAAACACTTTCATATGAAGTTCTACCAAATCTTTAAAAAACAGATAATTCAAAAGATAAATTAGTCTTAGCATAGAAAAAGAAAAAAATTTATCTTCTTGAAAACAAAAATTTATCTTTTTGAAACAACCATGACATTGATAAGAAAATCTAACAGACCACACATACAACATCTACAGACAAACAGCACATGGATATCAATAAAACAAACCCAGGAGTTCATCATTCTATTCTCTCTACTTCTGTAAATGTTTAAGGTCTAGAGATCTATTGCACAACATGAAGAATATATAATAGATAATAAAATTGTACTGTATATGGGATTCATGCTAAATGAGTAGATTTTAGCTGACCTTGCCACAAAAATAAAAAAGGGTGACTAAGTGAGATGATAGATATGTTCATTTGTTTCACTGTAGTAACCTTTTAACTATATGTATCTCATAACATCATGTTGTATACCTTAATTATACACAATAAAATTTATGTATGTATTTACCTATAAATGTGCATCCCCCCAGGCTGGAGTGCAGTGGCACAAACACAGTTCACTGCAGCTTCAATCTGGGCTCAAGCCATCCTCCTGTCTCAGCCTCCTGAGTAGCTAAGACCCCAGGTGTGTGACACCACCACTCCTGGCTAATTTTTTTTTTTTTTAAGAGACAGGATCTCGCTATGTTGCCCAGGGCTGACCTCAAACTCCCGATCTCAAGCCATCGTCTGTCTTGGCCTCTCAAAGCACTGGAATTACAGGCACCCGCCTAAGTTTTTTTTTTTTTTTAAATTCCATAATAAAAAACTAAAATAAAGACATCTTTAATCAAGGAGAAAAAAATTCTATCTAGATATACCATTTTTTTTACCAATCAAAAGTTTGACAATAATGTGGTGAAGGCATAGGAAGATAGGTACTCTCAGAAACTTCTAGCGAGGGGGAAAACAGACAACCTTTATGGAAAGCAATTGACAATGTTCGTCAAAATTACAAATGCACATACCTGCTGATGTAGCAATCTCACGTTTAGGAATCTGTCCTATATATACACCCGGACATGCATGAAATGACAATGCGTATAATAATTCACTGGAGGGCAGGTTGCCATAGCAAAGACTAGAAACAACCTATTAATTGTAGCCATCAATAGGGAAAGTTGGCTAATAAATTCTAGTACATTCATATAACCAAATTCTCAGAAGACATAAAAAGGAAAAACAAAGTTCTGCAGGTACAGATATACAAAGGTCTGTTTCTAAGGTATTAAGATCAAAAAACAAGGTACAGACAAAGGTATAAACTGTCATTTATGCAAAAAAAGGGAAGGCCAGTGGGCACAAGTGGGAAGTAGGCTTTTCTGTGTCCTTTTGCACCTTCTGAATTTGGAACCATGTGGCTGTAATCTTAGGCCCAAAATAAAAATCTCATTTTTAAAAATGCCACCATTTGGAATGTACTATTGCCATTATAAATTAAAAATCCATTTAGAACACTTGTTATTCTTGCTATATTTGCTAACTGTGTGGCAGACTATATTTCAAGTCAAGATGGAGTTCAAGAAACTTTCATTATTTTAAAAAGCATAGAGAAAAATACTGCACATAGATGAAAGGGGGCCAGTAGATCAGACAGATCATCTGATTAATGATGCTTAACCCTGGATATGCTTTAGAATGACAGGGGGATCTCCTAAAAATACCAATGTTCTGCTCTCCACCCCTAGCACCCCCAGATCATTTACAACAAAAATTCAGAGTATGAGGCCCTGGCCTGAAAACCACTCAAGTAAACGCTTCCAAACAGTGATTCAACAGAAGTCCAGGGGACATTTTGCTCCCCCAGGGGACATTTGGCAATGACTGGAGACATGTTTGGTTGTCACGACTTGGAGTGGGAGGTGCTCATGGCATCTAGTGGGTAGAGGCCTGGGATGTAGCTCAACTTCCCACAGTGCACAAGACAGTTCCTACCAAAATTACCTGGCCTGAAATGGCAAGAGTGCTGAGGCTCAGGAACCCCTGCTTTAAAATAAAATCACTGCTTCTGAAGTAACAACCAGTTTTAGCCTCCACTTTTGAACACGGGAAATAATCTCACTTACTGATGTGTGGTACATTCCCATAAGAAAGCCTATTTACCAAGGTTGTAACAAATTGTGTATATCCTATGTATCTCCTTTCTCTGGTCCCTGTCTAGTTACTCTAGTCAAAATGTATGTCCCATTTGTAAAGTACTCATGGAGAAAGGCATAAAGTTCATAAACTAGTAGCCTGTGGGCCAACTTGATCCATCCATCTATTTTGTTTATGCCAAAGTTATCTTGAAATATACTGAATTGGTGCCAATCAGCTGTCCCTTTGGAGCTAGCCATATACCAGGGATTTGTCACAGTCCTCCACTCGTTGGCTTCATTCACTTATCCACTGCCCGCTACCTGGCGCTTTCAGCGTCTGAGTTGGCCCTCTCCTGCAGTTTTCTCTAATCATACAGGGGCATGTAGCCTCTTCACTCCTCCTCTCTCCTCACCTTAAAAATATCCCACACCCATTCTGAATTCTCCAACTCCCACATTACTTGCCAAAATAGAACTGCTATGAAGAGACAGAACTAAGAGAAAAGTAGAAGTAGAGATGGACTTTTTGCAACAACTCCCTTCTTTTAGTTGTCCTGTCATTAAAGATAGGCTGATTAGAACCTGATTCATCTCTGGGTGTTACAAACTAGTCTTGTCACTTCTAGCAAATTCCACTACAACTATATCTAGCACTTGAAGGAAACCCTTAAGTTATTATGCTTCTCTCATGACCTTAGTGAATCCGTCCGCCCCTCCCAAAATAGATCAGAAGACTTTTATAGGAAATATCTATCAAAAGATTTGGTAGTTTTCTTTTAGAAAGTTCATGCCTTCTCCTTTGAAATCACAATCGTAGAGTGGTGAGCTGTGCTTTTAAAGATCGCCTGATACAATCTACTCATTTTATCAATGAGGAAAATGAACCCCAAGTGAGGTTTGGTCACTTAGTCAAGGGCACATTCTGAGCTAGTGGCAGAGCCAGAATTAGAACATTTGTTTCCAGATACTGGCCCCACAGGTTTTCCATGATAACAATATCCTCCACTGTGGTTTTCCTGCTCACATAACATCCTTGCCAAAATACCTATTAACACGGGTAGACACTAGCTGCTATGGAAATCAACTAACCAAAATTTTGGCTGGCTATTGGAGCTATCACTTAAACTTTGAGGGGGGAAGAACTGGGCGTTTCTGGATTCCTTTTGTTCCTTTTATTGTGAATTATCCTGTCTCAGTTTACACTAATGAAAGGCTGATACCTTCAGAATCTTCCCTAAACCTAAAAGATGGAAAACGTGCCTATATTTATAGCAACAGCAACACTTTCTAAACTCCAAAGTCAGAAACTGCCTCAAACCTCTACAGTTCTCAAGACGGTCAGTAAAACTACCAACAGCTTTTGGGAGTGAAGTTTTAAGACACAAAGATCAATGTCTCATTGAACTTTGACTTTCATCATCATTCTCTGGCAAATTGGTTTCTAAAATTTTAATTTGGTCTCAACTTTAACCTATTCCTCTCTTCCTATCCTAGCTTTTCAAAAAAAAAAAAAAAGTATGGACATCACTTTTTGCATATCAGGTCTTCCTCAAATGTTCTACCTCCTTGGCACTTTAGTTTTTATGCCCAACTGACACTATCACTGACACCCTTGACATTTACACAAAATTCATTAAATTAACAGACACCCCACAATTTCCCCTCGAGAGCTTAGAACATCTTTGCTGCTGGATTTATTTTCCTTCAGGGATGCTGAGTTCCATTCTGATACCTCAATGCACGCGTTTTACTTTTAGGTGTTTCACAACCAGCTCCTTCGTTTTCTGGGGAAACATGATCCAGTTAACAGAAGGTGGTGGAATCTATTCCCATCTCAGCTAGGCCTGAGGCAGGCTGGGAACCCGGATCTTCTTTGGTCCCACCTCAATCCGTGAAAGCCGCCCACCAGCCCACCGGACGGGGAAATGTGGGTGGGACACCAATGGAGAAGAGAAACGAAAGGTGCTGGCACTAAAGCCAGAGTTGTATTAGACCCTGCTCTGATGCTACGAACCCAGGCGTCCGCTCTTCCCAAGCATCTAAGGCGTCTGCAGTGCAGGCCTCTAACTGCTTTAACATAACCTGATGAAGACAACAGTTCGAGTCCTGCCACTCCAGCCACACAGCAACACCTTAGAGCAGAAAAGGGAAAAAATGCCGTTGCATAATTTATTCAACCTCAAGGTATTTCTAAACAGTTCTTACCCAACCAAAAAAAAAAATAAATCTAAAAATAAAAACATTAAAAAGCCACCCACGTCTCGTTCTGAAGTTTTAAGGGCTGTGAGGTTTGTGTCAAGTAGATGTGAAGCTAACGATGGCAGGTTTGGGGAGTCTCGCCTGCGATGAGGGTCCTGCAATGAGACGCCGTTTCTGTGTCTCTGGGTAAGTCCCAGGCTGGGTGCGAGGGGGCCAGGCCCTGCCCCTCCACGCCCCGAAATCCGAGCCTCAGGAGAGCCCCCCGGATATCCCCTAGCCCCGCCTGCGGTTCCCACGGACTTTACCCCGAAGCTGCGGAGATCTGGGGTGGCAGCCTGAATGGCGGCGGCCCCGGGCCCATGGGAACCCTTGGCCCCGTACTCACCGAAGTCCAGGAACTGTTTGATGGAGAGCGGCGACGGCGAGAAGCGCGAGTAGCGCTCGATCTGCTTGGGCACCGGCTGCTTCAGCAGCCACCGGAACAGCCGCATCCTCGCCGAGGCGGCGCACAGACCAACCTAGACGCCCGGGTAGCCGCAAGGGCTGGCGCAGCCAAGCCGCAGGGATAAGGCACGTTTGCTAAGCGCGCACCCCGACCTCGATCTCGGCCTCGGTGCCGCCGGTGCAGCCGCCGCAGCAGCAGCAACAGCTCCCGGACCGCGGCCGGCCGCCCGCGGCTTCCCTAGGCTCCGCCTCGCTGGGCGGAGTCGGTTGCTGCACGTACGCGGCGCGCGAGGGGCGGCGAAGAGCGCGAGGGGCACGCGGCCGCGCGCGCCCTCCACTGATTGGCCGCCGCCGCCTCTGTGACGTTTCTTTTTTTGTCCCGGCGCGGCGCCAGAGCCCCAGCTCTCTGGCTCGTGGAACTCAGCCCAGCCCGGCAAGTGCAGCCGCTCTCGGCTCCGCCCCTGGCTGAGTTCTCCACTGCCGAAAGGTAGCCGAGGTGCCCGCGGACTGGGAAGAGGCCGGGAGACCGGAATCCGATCCTCCGAGCTGCTCAAGACCCTTCTCAACCGCAGGCGCCTTTTCAGGGAGGAGGACTTGCAGTTCACTGCGTCTTGACACTTAGATTTTACGGCCTAACTAGACTCTGTTTCATGGCCCAGCCCCACCCCCACCTCCCTGCCTCACTCCGGAGAGAACACCTTTGGAACACCTTTGGACTGGATTGTTAGGTCGCTGATTCTCTTTTTCGTGGCTCCTTGCCCCTCCTTCCCTCACAAGATTAAGTCACTAATTGCATTTCATGTCCCCCCCCCCACCACCGTTGGACGGGATCCATTGTGAGGTCAAGGGTCACTAACATCCCCTACCTCCCCAGTGCCAGTGGACAGGATAATTGCAAGGTCACTGACTCTGTTTCATACCTCCCCCCACTACTACCATTGGAAAGGATCAAATGTAAGGTGACTGACACTTTCTTTCATACGCCTTCTCTACACCACCACCATAGGACAGCTCCCTTCACGCTTCACCACCACTTTTGGACAGGAGTCTATGCTTACACAGTGTTGGGTATTGTTTATCTCAAGTGTACTTGAGAGCCTGGCATGGTGGCATGCACCTATAGTCCCAACGACCCTGCAGGTAGAGGTGGGAGGATCACGTGAGCCCAGAAGTTCAAGATCTGCCTAGGCAACATACCCAAACCCCCCTCTCAAAAAAAAAAAAAGTGAACTTGAACTCAGGGCTCAGTATATGAAATTGTTATTTCCTATTATGAGTGAATAAACTACCGCTTACTTTAGCCATTTCCACCAAACCTTGTTTTTTTTTTTGTTTTTTTTTTGTTTTTTTTTTTTTTCAATGTGTAAATATAAACATATGTAACTAAAAGGACAGGAAGAATGTTCTTTAAGGAAAGGTACAAATGTGACTGGAAACCACTCCTCGGGTCTCTGATTGGATTAGTTTTCTCACTGTATGAGATTATTGCTGGGTAGCTATTTAGCTTTTGTGCCCTCAGTGGATGTTTATGCAACCAATTCTTTGCTTAATAAAATAGTTGCATCTCTACTCTGAATGCAAAGAAAAGTAACATACACAGTAAAAGACATCAGCCGGGCGCAGAGGCTCACGCCCTGTAATCCCAACACTTTGGGAGGCAAAGGCGGGCGGATCATGAGGTCAGGAAATTGAGACCATCCTGGCTAACATGGTGAAACCCCAGCTCTACTAAAAGTATGAAAAATTAGCCGGGCGTGGTGGCGGGCCCCTGTAGCCCCAGCTACTCGGGAGGCTGAGGCAGGAGAATGGCGTGAACCAGGGAGGCGGAGCTTGCAGTGAGCCGAGATTGTGCCACTGCACTCCAGCCTGGGTGACAGAGCAAGATTCTGTCTCAAAAAAAAAAAAAAAAAAAAAGACATCCAGTGGTCTTCTAGACTTCTGGATTTTCAAGAACATCTTGGTCATCTTGGTAGTTGTATGTAGACTACCATGTCTTTTCCATTCAAATTAAATCAAAGCATTAAAAAAGACATACTAACAACTTCTTTAACCAGGAGCTTTACCAGAAGAGCTAAGTAATCCAGTTGGTGTGCATGGGCAGACAAAGAGAAGACCAGTGGCCTGTGGTTCCTAAAGTGCTTCTCAGGGGCTACCTGGAAGCGGAGCGGTAATTGGTGGCAGTCGTCAGTGAGCAGGAAGAAGCTGGATACTTGTTGAGAGGGAGATTTTCTCAGCCTAAGCAACACAGCGCTGATCTTTCTGAGCTTGCAAATGGCTTGTTTCACTTCTTCCTTTTCCACTGCACAAAATGCTACTTAAAATCCATTCTGTTGATTTGATTATTTAAACTTTCATGTGCCTAATTTTATTTCTGCTTCTCCAAAAGGTGACAAAGTCCTAGAAGTTGGGAACAATATGAAAGAGCCCGATATAATGTAAAATGTGCTCAGACGAGGCTAAGGTCACCTAGCCTGTCTGCGTTGTGGATATTTTTATGTCAGATTAAGATACCTGATTAATCTCCCTGGCATTTGTGACAGTCAAATGAAATAAACCATATGTAATATAAATACAAGGTACTGTACCTCTTGTGTACAGCAATGCATGTATTTTTACCTAATACTTTCATGATAACTTGCAGAGGCCAGAAGTGACACCAGTGTGTTGATAAATAGATCTTGATGAACTTTTTTCAACTCCTTGTACACACCAAGGTCTTGTGCAGACCCCACTCCCAGTGGCTCTCAAAAGTGAAATCCCTGGACCTGCGGCAGCAGCATCACCTGAGAACTTGTTAGAAATGCAAACTCTTGGGGCGGGCGCAGTGGTTCACCCCCGTCTAATCCTAGCACTTTGGGAGGCAGAGGTGGGCAGGTGGCTTGAGCTCAGGAGTTGGAGACCAGCCTGGGCAACATGGCAAAACGCCGTCTCTACTAAAAATACAAAAATATTAGCAGGGCATGGTGGTGTGCTCCTATAGTCCTAGCTGCTTGGAGGGCTGAGATGGGAGGATAGCTTGAGCTCAGGAAGTGGAGGCTGCAGTGAGCCAAGATTGCACCACTGCAAACCAGCCTGGGTGACAAAGTGAGATCCAGTCTCCAAAAAAAAAAAAAAAGAGGCTGGGCATGGTGGCTCCCACCTGTAATCCCAGCACTTTGGGAGTCCAAGGCGGGCGGATCACGAGGTCAGAAGATCGAGACCAGCCTGGCTAACACGGTGAAAACACGTCTCTACCAAAAATACAAAAGTTAGCCGGGCGTGGTGGCGCACACCTGTAATCCCAGCTACTTGGGAGGCTGAGGCAGGAGAATTGCTTAAACCCTGGAGGCAGTGGTTGCAGTGAGCCGAGATTGCACCATTGCACTCCATCCTGGGCCACAAAGCAAGACTCCGTCTCAAAAATAAAAAATAAAAAATAAAAAAAAAAGAAAAGATCAGATCAGGCCAGGCGCAGTAGCTCTTGCCTGTAATCCCAGCACTTTGGGAGACCGAGGCAGGTGGATCGCCTGAGGTCGGGAGTTCGAGACCAGCCTGACCAAGATGGAGAAACCCCATCTCTACTAAAAATACAAAATTAGCAGGGTGTGGTGACACATGCCTGTAATGCCAGCTACTAGGGAGGCTGAGGCAGGAGAATCGCTTGAACCCAGGAGGTAGAGGTTGCAGTGAGCCAAGATTGCACCATTGCACTCCAGACTGAGCAGCAAGAGCGAAACTCCGTCTCAAAAAAAAGAAAAAAAAAAAAAACAAGAAAAAAAAAAAAGAAATGCAAACTCTTGGACGGCACTGCAGCCCTACTGAAGCAGATCTGCGTTTTAGCAAGCAATGAGGGTCTTAAAGATATGGCCACAAATTATTTGATACTCCTCAAGAGATGGAGCTTAATTCCTCTCCACTTGAATGTGGGTTAGACTTAGCTCATGCTTCTAACAAAGAAGAGTGTGGCCAGAAGTGATGAGATCTCATTTCAGAGACTGGGGTCCTACAAAATACCTGATCAGTACTCCTCAAAACTATCAAGGGCATTCAAAACAAGGAAAGCCTGAGAAACTGTCACAGCCAAGAAGAGCCTAAGGAGATATGACAACTAAATATAATGTACTATCCTGGTTGGGATTCTGGAACAGAAAAAAAGGATATTAGTAATGATGAATGTTTGCGGTGATGGATATGATAATCATCCTGATTTGACCACTCTACATTGTATGTATCAAAATGTCACTATATACCCCATAAATATGTACAATTATTATGTGTCATTTAAAACATTTTTAAAGGATATTAGAATAGGGAGAGATTTGTTAAAGGATACAAAATTATAGCTATACAGGAGGAATAAGTTCTAGTGTTCTATAGCACTGTAGGGTGACTATAGTTAAAACAATGTATTATATAGTTTCAAATAGTTAGAAGGAGAATATTGAAGTTCCCAACACAAGGAAATGGTAAATGTCTGAGATGATGAATATGCTAATTACCCTGATCTGATCACTGTGTAACCTCATGAATATGTACAATTATTGTCATTTAAAAATATAACTAGAAATTTTAAAAATAGGTCAGACGCGGTGGCTCATGCCTGTAATCCCAACACTTTGGGATGCTGAGGCAGGTGGATCACCTGAGGTCAGGAGTTCGAGACCAGCCTGGCCAACATGGTGAAACCCCATCTCTACTAAAGATAAAAAAAATTAGCCGGTCATGATGGTGGGTGCCTGTAATCCCAGGTACTTGGGAGGCTGAGGCAGTAGAATCGCTTGAACCCTGGAGGCAGAGGTTGCAGTAAGCCGAGATCGCGCTATTGCACTCTAGCCTGGGCAACAGAGTGACACTCCATCTCAAAAAAAAAAAAAAAAAAAAAAGAAATTTAAAAAATAAGGTAAATATAGGCAATCATTCTAGCTAAAATGAATAAAATATTCTAAAATAAATGGACAAAGGGATATTAGGTAAAACTAAGGCATTCTGAATAAAGTATAGACTATTGGTTCATGAATTACAGCAAATGTACTGTACTAATGCTCCCTGCCTCCCTACCTCTCTCCCTCCCCCCATCTCTCTCTCTGTCTCTGTCTCTCTCTCTTTCCTATGATCCTCCCCCTGTGGAGCCTTGAGATGACAAAGCTCTAGCCAACACCTTGATTGACACCTCATTGTAATCTTGAGAGAGACCCTGAGTCAGAACCACTCAACTAAGCAGCTCCTGGGCTCCTGACCCCCAGAAATCCTCAGTTTGTTGTAATAAGTGTTTGTGGTTTCCAACTGCTAAGTTTCTGGATAAT